TCGCGCATTCAGCCACGCCATGTTACAAGTAATCAACGACGCACCGTCATGGAAAAGCAACGTGGTCATCCCCCCAGCCGCAGCAGAGGAGCTACACTTTTGGCTTGAGGAGTTCGACCGGTTCAACGGTGCACCTTTCCACGTCCGGAACAGCTACGATGCGGTAATTCATGTGGATGCCAGCTCTCATGGTTGGGGCGCCACTCTAACTACATTTCCGGGTGGCCTCGAAGAAGCGAGCGCAACCATGTCAGAGCCACTACAGGCAACGTCCAGCACGCGGCGGGAGTTCGAAGGCGTCCTTTGGGCGCTCCAAACGTACGCCAACAAGATCAAGCAAAAACACGTTCTCGTGCGGGTGGACAACCAGGGCGTATTCTTCATCCTTCGCAAAGGCGGCTCTCACAGCTCTGACCTCACAATGGCTTGCAAAAGCATCATCCGAACATGCATGGGGCTCGGCACGCGCTTGATCATTGAATGGATCCCGCGAGAGCTCAACTCACATGCTGACGAGCTTTCAAAAATGGTCGACCACGACGACTACGCGTTGAAGAAGCCGTGGTTTCGCATCTTAGAACGTCGTTGGGGTCCGCATTCCATCGACCTCTTTGCAAACTCTCACAACACCCAACTCTCGCGCTTTTGCACCAAGATCCCCCACCCGGAAGCCATCGCAGTTGATGCGTTCTCGATCGCATGGACAGCCGAAAACAACTTCGCCTTCCCCCCACCCCAACTGGTCCCAGCCGTCCTCCACCATGCACAACGCACCCATGCATCACTCACATTAATAGTCCCGCACTGGCCAGGCGCAAGTTGGTGGCCACTTTTGCAACCCTCCCTATGTACTTGGGCTCCACACATCCACGCGCACATCCCTCTCACACACGGAAGCCAATGCCTAGATACAGGGTCCCATTCTACTGCCTTCTCGGGCACGGGACTACCGCATAGCCCAATCATTGCACTGCGAGTGGTATTTGACTAATGCATATTGTCCACTCCTGTGTTCAGATTTGCTCCCAAAGTTACACGACCAACTGATCAAAATGCTCGCGCAGTCACGCGCCGATTCTACGATCCGGACATACGAACCATACTGGGCCAAGTTTCGAGCATTTTGCACAAAAGTGGATCTCTCCTTTCTTCCAGCTTCCGACATGACACTCGCACTATACCTGGTTCACGCAATCCGACGCAAAGCCACCCTGTCCGTAGTGCAGCTGACGTGCTCGGCAGTAAGCTTCGCCCATCGCATGACTGGGAACAAATGCCCAACAATCGGTCCGTTTACCACCCAAGTCCGCGACTGTGCAAAACGACACTGCCCCCGCACTACTCGTCTGAAGGAACCCGTATCGATCCAACAAGTCCGCGACATGGCCGGGAGTTACCTGCAGTCTGACGACCCTGCGGAATTTCAGAAAGGGCTGATCCCCATCCTCATGTACTCAGGATTTCTGCGATACTCCGACCTAGTGGCCATACAATGGCAAGACATCCAATTCGACGAAGAGGTCATGTGGATCCTCATACCACACTTTAAGACCGATCAGGCCGGTCACGGAACATGGATACCCATTGCAGCAACGACAGACCCTTGTTGCCCAGTGCGCTGCACCCGACGCTTCATCCAACTCGCCGGCTATGGTCCTCAGTCAGAGGGACCGTTGATTCGTGTCTTCGGGCACGCTTCAAGCAGCAAAGGCCAAGCGAAGCCGCCTTCATACACTACAATTCGGAACTGGTGTAAGGAAGCTTTCGCAAAAGTTGGTCTGGGAGAGCTGCAGCTCGGCACTCACTCTTTCCGAAAAGGCGCGGCCACAGTAGCAGCCAACACTGGAGTGCCAGACAGAGTCTTCAAACGGCTGGGCAGATGGCGAAGCGACACAGCTAAGGAAATGTACGTCACGCCATACGTCGAGCCTCTCATCACAGCATCCCGCAACCTGCAAGATCCGACGCAGGCGGTGTCTTCGGCGCAACACACAGAGGCCCTCGTACGCCATAGGAGGCCCCCGCTGCCCATGTCTCAGAGACCCCAGTTGTAATGAGAACGATGCCAATTGATAAAAACAAGAAAGCAAGCTTTCTCAATATTATAATTTTTAAACACACATTGTGTTTTTTTAAATTGTGTATTGTGAAAGCGAAGCTGCTTGTACTGCACAATTGGCATCGTCGAAGCGCGCTAAACGCCCTTCTCCAACTACAAAAACCGTGGGTTGGAGCTCATTTCCCTCCACCCACGTTTCTCTATTTCAAACGGCTCACTCAACATCCCCACCACCCACCCCAGCGTAGAACGCCTTGCTAATGCCACTTGGATAGGGTACATCTTAGCTAGGGATATTAGCATGCACTAGCTTGTGTTCAATCTCGATGCAAATGTTGTAATAAGCCAGTTGTAATGAGAACGATGCCCCAGTTGTAATGAGAACGATGCCAATTGATAAAAATAAGAAAGCAAGCTTTCTCAATATACTCAACATGCCACTTCGGGTCTCCCTGATCTACAACCAAGGCACGATTTGAAATTTAGGAAGACGCTTGAGGCAAATCTACCCCGGAATTGAAAACATTACTTATTTAAAACCATACTTCCTAATGGTAGAATTCAAGCCAATATCAGGGGTGGCATGGCATGATGGCAGGCCAGGCCATGCATCAGCGGTACAAACTTGCAATGTTCTTTACATTCCTACTCTTTACAGTGCTCACACCCCAGCTTTTACGGTTGCTTCTTCATCTTCCCGCAGAGTGCGTAGTTGTTGTTAGGATGAGACAACACCAACCAAGCGTTCGACTCTTCGTCAAACCGTTGTTTGATAAAACTTCGAACAACAGCCTCCGACCCTGGGCCCACACTAGTGTAGCTAGTGAAGCTGTAGCGCTTGCGCCGACCACCCTTGGTAGTCGTGGCGTTCTTCCAGTCACTTCCTGCCTCATACTTGCCAGCAAGGCAAGAAGAAACGGTGTCAAAAGAGGGCCCAGCCCCTCCAGAGCGGATGTTGTTGATATGCACGTTGATCACAACATAGAAGGCACTTGCAGAGGCCCTGTCACTGAGGCGAGGGAGAATAGGACGGACACAAGCACCACGGGTCGATTCATGGCTCCTCACATGATATTTGTGCAAGAGTAGAAGAATACGCCATGTTCACATCGATGCATTTTTTAGCACAGATATTGCAGCTTGTTCAAATTTGCATTTAGCTGAATTGGGCAGAAAAAAATACCGGAAAATACTCTCAGGACTTGCAGGGCTACACCAAACTATGGTTACCGAACAACGAACTTACTCGACTCCCTTCATAACCACTCTTCCAGTTGCTCCTTTGTCGCCAACCACTTTTCCGTTGCTACGAGTAGGAGTGAGCCTGGCCACATAGCGCACTGGAAAGGGAATGGGAGTGTAAGTACCAAGGAAAGCATCCCTGAAGGATGCCGTGATTAGATAGCACTAACACTACATGCGCGCAGCGCACTGATAGTTTCCGTTCAGTATATGAAATGACGAGAAGATCACTTGTCCAATTATGCTATGTGACTGCGCTTGCGGTTGTGGGAAGATACTATGACCCTAAGTTCCACCACACCATACACGAGTAGTAACCGTGGCGGTAGTAGTAACAGCGGAGCACAGCTCACGGCGACATCGCTGCTGCAAGCAGACAGTACTTTCAACGTATTTTCACGAAGTTCGTGAAAGCACTGAAGTGCTCAGGCGTTTTTGAGAGCTAAGAAAACACCATTGGTTGAACAGAAGCACTTACTAAACGCCTTTCCTTTCACCAAAGGAGTGGCCTGAGTGGAGGACGGGACGGACAGCCCGCTTGAGAGCAATGCCGAGAAAGACGCTGAAGGTGACGTGGGGGGGGGTTGTTGGGAGCAATGTTGCAGACGCTGCACCCGCCGCAACGAGCGATACAACTGCACACGGCACAGCACCACCCAATCATGCCAACACGAGCTCTAGTCAGAAATATAAGTATCTCCAAAAAGGCACAGCACCGCACAGCACCACGCAAGGCACAGCACCACCCGATCATGCCAAAACGAACTCCGGTGAGAAGGGGTTTGACCGGCAGAGCCATGGATGCATTTTGCGAACGGCGTCAATGGGCGCTCACTTATTAGTGCCCAGGAAAACGCAGTGCGCTCCATGTTAAGAGAGGCGGAGAGACGAGCCGTTGATAATATTACGAGTGGCCGTAAAAACATGCAGGTTTCACAAGAGGCGGGACGGGACTATATAACGCGTTGTTCAGAACAACCAAGTTTGCTTCTAGTAGTTATGCGGGTGGGGCTCCTGGGGGTAGTTAGTGATACCTTGGACGGATCGTGTCGTCGTCGTCCCGACATTGAAAACATTCACGTGACGCGGGACAGGTCGTCTAGACAGCACACGCGCAAGGCCAGGCAATTCGCTCCGTACATGTCCAAGCGGGCAGCGGGAGGACGAATATGTTCACATCTGGATAGGTGTCTGCTTTCCTATTTCTGGTGTGTACGGAGTCATTAATATCACCTCTCTCCAGAAGCGTGTCTTGCGGCTAAGCTTATGTGGAGGGCTCCTCCTGTAAACGCATCTCCCGCCAACAGAAACGGGAAAAGGGAAGGTTTGTTCAAACGCGAGCGGAATGAGAAAGTGGAGGCGAAATAGGTTTCTCTGACTGGTCTGAGCTGACGAAGCGAAGCGAGATGGGGTGCATTCGTCAGTGAGCTGGCAGGCGTGGCGAAATCGGTGACGTGTTCGCGAATTTGAGCTGGCAGGCGTGGCGATCTCAGTGACGTGTTCGCGACACGAAGTTTCGGCGACCATTTCCGCACAGAACAGCTCGTCACAAGCTCACTCCCAGCGCTTTAGAATCCCTTTCCGAAACCATAACTTATAATGGTTGTTGGAAGACCCATGACACACCAAACAAGATCGTATTATCAATTTCATACGGTGATTTCTAGTACATCTTGCTTACAATACAAAAATTGGTTTTCTACGCTTGTGCTTCAGCAGGTGCTGCTTCCAGTGCTTCCATAACACTGGCCACCCAGCTGCACAGGGAAACGGAGGGAGATGAAGGGGCACAGAAAAGCCAGCCGAGGAGCATGCAAATTTTTTGGAGACAGTTGATATAGCAGGGGAGGTTATTGTAGCGAGTGAGTAGTGCATGGTCCTGAACAAGCTTACCTTTCAATTCCAGGGCTATCTGGGGCAAACACCTTCTTGATTCCTGCTTTTCTCGCAGCTTCGGCTGAAGTTCCCCCTACGCACGCTGCAGCTCCATCCCACTGCGTGCGAGACGCCACCACCTCCATCCATGCCCTGGGGCGCGGGGCGAGGTGCGAGGCAGGCAAAAGACAGGGGAGAGGTTACGTCTCAAAAGTAGGCTCTGTCCCACTGCGTGCGGGACGCCACCACCTCCATCCATGCCCTGGGGCGCATGGGCATGGGGCGAGGCGGGAAGGGAAGCCAGAGGAGAAGGAAGTGGTGGGAGGAAGGTTGAGGGGCTAGGGAGATGGGAAGCGTGAAAAGGGGAGATTGAAGACGGTCCATGCTTGAGTCTGAAGAGTCTGCTGTTGCTCACCTGACAGCAGTGGGAGAAGCCACAGCAACGACAGGAGCCCTGGCGGCTCTCTGTATGGTGTCCTCGTCCACACTCGTCACCGACTCCTGATGCCCACATGCACTCACAATGTGGCGCACACATACACGCATACACACAGACACACGTATTAAGCCATGGAGGAAGGAGATGATCAAGGTGTGGAAGAGAGCCGACAAGAGAAGGGGGTTCTGTGAGACCGCTGTAGAGAAGGATGAAGGCGAGGAGTGGGAAAGTATGTGAATGATACAAGCAGCTCCAGAGAAGGAACGCAACCGTGTTAGCTGACAGAGGTACGTGTTTCGCCGGTAACAGAACGAGGTGAGCGCCATGCAGCATACCGTGGAGTATGTGTTGAGCCATGCAGCATACCGTGGAGTATGTGTTGAGCCGTGTGACTTGGAAGCCCCTGCTTGCCAGCCCATTCTCTGCAGTCACACACACACGCAAGTGCAGAAATGTTGGAAGCACTGACAAAAAAAACAATTGCCTGTTATAGACCATCAACCAAGCAAGGAGAAAATACGTCCCTCTTCTCCCCACCCCTACCCCCACTTCCCCAACCTTCATCTCCCCCTAGCCAACATATTCCAGACATATTTGACATGCATCCTGGTCTAGAGCACCCACGGAGATCCGTGCTGGCCTTGGCCGAGGCGGGGTACAGCACCCGGCGGTTGCCGCCTTCAATCTCCGGGATTTCAGCCGACAGATACTTGGCCGTGGCTGGGGACGCAGGGAGGGCGGAGAGCGAGGAGAGGGAGGAGAGAGTGGAAATGAGGAGAGCACACAAGGTTGCACCAGAAGCACCCGGCGGTTGCCGCCTTAAGTCTTCGAAATCTCAGCCGACAGATATTTGGCCGTCGCTGGGGAAGCAGGGCGGGTGGAGGGGGAGGAGAGGGGAGGATTTAGGAGAGGGTATACAGTTGCACCAAACGCAGTCGCCTGTGCAAGCACCCAGCACTACTTTTCAAGGGGAAGAGAAAGGTTACCTGTGGAAGGAACGAACTGGACGGGCAGGAGGTGCTTCTCCGGCTCGTCCAGCTGGTGGAAGACCAGAAGCACTCCGGTTGTGCCGGCGCCTATCACTACTGTTCAAGGGAAGGAAAAGGTACCTATGGAGGGAACGAACTGGACGGGCAGGAGGTGCTTCTCGGGCTCGCCCAGCTGGTGGAACACCTCCGCTGTGCCGCCCCCCACCACTGCCAGCCTCAGCGCCGGCGTCTGACGTTGATGCGCGTCATATTGGAAGAAATGGCACGGGGTGTGGGTGGGATTATGACAGGAGGTGTCGAGTCAGTGGAATCAGGGAGCGGGAGTCAAGGGTGATGCGAGGAGCTTGCTGAAATCAATGCACGATGCATATGCAAGGTGTGAAAGCAGGCAAAGAAAATGCCAGCGTGTGGTGGACCTTACCTCCAGCCAGTAAGGAATACTGAAGCAGCTTCTGGCGAGGTTATCACAATCCACTCAAACTCCTCTTCTGCATGCAAGAAACATGAGACAGAAGAAACCGAAACAGGACAAGAAACCGCTGAGGAAGCACCCAGGGTTCAGACGGGGCAGCAAGGAAGCAGGAACGAAAAAAGAACAGGGAAAACGAGGGGGACAGGGAGGGCCGATAGGGAAAGAAGAAGCTAACTAGAACAAGGATGCGAGGAAGCGGTGAGAACTGACCTTGAAGCACGGCTGGCAGGCGGTGGGTGTCGGGCCCGTCTGAGTGCTGGATGAGCGGCAGCTCCATCACTGACACTCCCCTCGCACTCTGGGTAGATAAGCACAGGGAGAGGCCGGGTTTTAAAAATTACTAGCGTACACACTTGGACCTGTTTGAGTGCTGCATCTGCAGACTCCGATACTGGAGCGCTCACGTCATGTTGCAGGACGTCAATTCGCGATAATTTGTAAAAGTGCAAATGGGATTCAACGCATTTCCCTGCATCTGGAGTCTTGAAAAAGCCGTTCTCATCACCGTGCCATTGTGTTTTGAACGTGGAATCACAGAATGTCAACACTCACCAGTGCCTTCATCAGCTTGCCGTTTTTGCCTTTCTCGCGCGTCGCCACCACCAGGGGAGGCTGATCCGAGGCACCACTCTGCTGCTCTTCCTGCGACACTGATCCTGCTGACGCCGTGACAGACCTGCACCAAAATCGTCTCGTTTTCAGTGACGCAGATGACGTGGCACAGGCGCTAGAAACTGTGTGGAGACGCAGAGGGACCAAGTTGACTGCGCCATTGCTTCTGATGGTCATGAATGCTGGTAACAGGAAAAGAAACAGAAGAGCGAAGTGAATCAAACTGGAGGCACCATTGTGAGAATTGACATGGCATTATGAAATCCGTGCAGTCAAGACCGAGCATGACTGAGCATGAAAGCGTGGGCGACGGGATGAATGAAACATGAACGAATCTTCACGCGATCATGAGATGGGACCAATGGTGCCGACCTGATGGTTTCGAAGGGCCATGGTTTTCGACGACTCGCATCAACCGAACGCCACTTAGCGTGCTGGAAGACATGGCTCAGAAACTCGTTTGATTCGACAAGCACCACCGAAGCCAAACGCCAGGAGTAAAACGTGGAATACGATTCCTCTGCCTCCCTTTCTCTCGGGACTACCAAGAGCCTAAAATCAGCGTGAGACTGAATTTGAATGTCCCCAGGCTGAATATCAGGGTTGTGAATGGAGGTTTGTGTTGTGAATGCAAACGAGGGGCTAACCGCTGGAGTGTGGATTTGGAGAAGGTGCAAAGAAGGAACTAGGGGCCTGGGTAATCCAGAAAGATGTGCCAGCGCATACAGACGCCGTTTCATCCAATCACAGAGCTTTCGCTTCAATGTATTTGCCAAATGTCAAATTTTTATGGGTCGTCTGACGGTCAAATTGGTTCCACCTAATGGGACAACCCTGGCAAGCTCGAAGACTTCGCAGTTGTCTTAGCGGAGTCAAATATTGCTTCGACGGACATGGTAACTCGACGACTAGGTGCGATCTTCTGTTGCTGAGTAACCAGAGGACCACACGAAGAATACTTCGGTCGGTAGTGCAACCCTTCTGGTCGAGGCGTATGGCAGGCAGCACTCTGACAACATGTACAGTACTCGCAGCCAACCAGACCAGAGCTGTCAACGCCAGACAACCTCATACAGTCACACCACCGCCTGAACCACCTGATCCCCGAGTTTCCCGCTGGCCAACCAGCGTGAAATCCGAAACTCTTCAAACGAGGTCAGGCCAGCAGACATGGCGCTCAATTTTCCCAAACCAATAGGCGCTGACTGCGAGGAAGTCTGACCCGCACCGCACAAAGCGTTCGCGTCGCATTCTCCTGCTGGTCGCAGGAACATTTGTTGTTCTCAAAATTCACTCAGAAAGAGAAGGTGCATTTTTCCCCCTCCCCCTTCAACCCTCCCTTGCTCTACCACTAGTTTCACGCAGCTATGTCGGCGGATTCGGAACCAGAGTCTCTTTCGTGTTGTAACTGTTATTGCTGAATCCACGCCACAGTCGGCGCTGTCTTCTTGTTCAGGTTCTTGCTTCTGTTCTTGTCCCTAACCTTCATACCTAGAGAGTAGACCGCAGAGAATGAAGCCTTGCGGTGAATGTTGCGAAACATCCGTCACCCAACCTCTGTGCCGAACCTGATGGAAATGTTTTCGTTTAGGATAAATACCAAACCTCACTGGGGCATCTTACAAGCGATCTTACAGAGTTTGTCGACCACAGAGTAGCCCGCGTGATCGTCTGTTTATCCTGCAAGGCGCTCGCTTGCCGTTTAGGTTGCGCCGGGCGACACTTCAGGTCGTCCATTCCGCCAAAGTCAATCCAACGAATATAGACACTCCCATTCGCACAGCCTGCCAATTTAGTCGCTTCCCCAGATCCACATCTGCTGTGAGACTAGACGCGCTAAACGCTGCAATAGCTGTACATTCCACTGGAACAAAAAAAAAAAAAAAAAAAAAAAAAAAATCCTCCCTTTCGGCTTAGCACATCATGGAAGGCTCCACCACGCCCGTAAAATCGACACACGGCACGCCGACCAGAAGCCTTTCAGCCCCCGTTAGACCCCTTTCGGCTGGATTCTCGCCGCGACCTCCGACCTCCCCTTACTCCACCCCTTCCTCGTCCTTTTCCCTCTTCGGCGGCAAGCCATGGCGGTCGTGGGCGTGGGCCGCGAACAGCCTCCCGCTGCTCTCCTTCTTCGCGCTCGCGCTTATAGCGACGGGACTGGTGCGCCAGCTCAACTCCCTCGCGGGTGTCGACGTTGCGACTATATCGGATGCGGAGATGGCGAGGATTCGAGTTGTGGGCGACGTGTGCGGGATGGGTCCGATGGAGTTGAGAAGCATAATGGCGCAAGCGCACGGGTGGCGGCGAGGTGAGAGGCACTGACGCGCTTGTGTCAATTTGGGAATTCTTGAAGTGGGTCTGAAGCGGTCCAATGGAGTTGAGAAGTGTCATGGCGGAAGAGCATGGGTGGCGGCGAGGTAAGATGCACTGACGCGCTTGTATCAATTTGAGATCTCTCAACGTGGGTTCAAAGGGCTTCAATGGGGTCCAGTGTGGTCCGATGGAGCTGAGAAGTGTCATGGCGGAAGCGCATGGGTGGCGGCGAGGTAAGAGGCACTGACGCCTCCTCTTTCCCCGATCCCTTTCCGCTCCTTTTTTCTTCGCCAAATCGATCCGCCATGCTCGTAACTCCCGCCTCATGGCTAAGTCCCAGCTCTATCTCTCTCCCCCACATCTTCTCTCCCTTACCCTCCTTCCCCTTCCTCCTTCCCCCTACCTCCCCGCATCCCTTCTTTCGCCCCTCTCCTCCCCTTGGTTCGGACCCCCCCCCCCCCCAATACCAATGCGCCTGCTATATCGCCCCCGTCGCTCCGCGTTCCGCGCCAGACGAGCCGCGGTACTGGTACGCGGGGCGGTGGCAGACGAACCGGCAGCTCTACCTCGCCTTGGAGGTCGTGCGAAAACGGTTACCACGCGACGCCGTCGTGTGCGCGATGGCGGCGGTGCACGGCCAGGTGCCGTGCCTGCACGCGCCGTGCGTGCTGACGGTGCATCTGCGGCCGTACTACTCGGATTTCAGCGTGCTGAAGCAGCTTGTCGAGATGGACGAATTCGGGTTCATCAAGCACTTCCGGCCGCGAACTGTCCTGGATGCAGGTAAGCGCGTTTGGCGGGAATAGGGCGGGTGTTGGGAATTGGGCAAGTGGCGCTAATGGCGCTGGTGGCGAGGGTACCAATTTACCGTTTTGCGTGTTCAAGCTCATCCATGGCTTTTCCCCGCACATACTGTCCCGCCCGCCTAATGCTCCGGTGAAGCCACACGTGACGTTCGTCGACTGCTAATTGTTCTCCTTGCCTTTGAGAATAGCCTTTCGCTCAGAACCGTCACCCTCTTTTCCTGTTTATTGCTCTCCTCGTTCCCAGGAGCCAACGTGGGGTATGCGACGCTCATATTCTCCACTTTCTTCCCCAACGCTACTGTGGTCGCCATAGAGGCGAGTGACAAGAACTACGAGGTGTTACGGCGTAACACGTATCGCCTGCGCAACGTTTATGCGGTGCATGCGGGGCTGTTTAATCACTCTGGAATGGTGCTGCTAAGGAATGGGACACAAACGAAGACGAGGGAGGGGTGGCAGTATGTGGTTACGCCGGTGCCCTCTAATAGCAGCGGTGACACAAACGAAGGTGATACTAACGAGGATGTTCAGGAGGGGGTAGAGGGTGAAGCGAACAGCAGCAACAGCAGCAGAGTGGCAACCACAGGGGCAGCTGAGGGGGGCGTGACTATCCGTGGTGTGACTGTAGGCGATGTGCTAAAGCAGGTTGGGTTAGCGAGATTCGATTTTGTGAAGATGGATATTGAGGGGTCCGAGGCTGAAGTGCTGGCCATGCCCCCATTGGCTGCAGGCGCCGATGTGACTAAATCGAATGCAGATTCCACTGCCTCTGGGGAATCCAGCAGCAGCAATGGCAGTGACAATAGCAGCAGCAGCAGCAGCAACGGTGGCGACGGCGGCGGCAGCGGAGGCAGTAGCAGCAGCAGCAGCAGGACCAGTAGCACAGCTGAAATCAGCAGGGAATATGATTGGTACGACCCTAGGCCGTGGTTGGATGAGGTGCGGGTGATGGCAGTGGAAGTGCACGACCGCATGAAGCCGAATTGCACCGTTACTGTAGAGGCTGCTACTGTAGCACGGCAGTGGCGGCTGCTGGCACGGTCAGGGGAGTATCTTGTGCTTGAGAATGAACGGTGGAGTGTGAGGAGGGGGAGGCGAGGAGGAGGGGGGGGGCAGAGGGCGGAAGACAGGGAGAAGTTGAGAGAGGTGCAGAGGAAGGAAGTTGAGAGGAGGAAGGAAGGGGCGAATGAGGAGGGGACGATGCAGCAACCAGAGCATGCAGCAGGAGCAGCAGGTTGGGGAGAGGGGCAACAGCGGCTGCAGCAAAGTGGGGAGGTGAAAGGACGGCATTAGGAGTAAGGTTGGTTCTGTGGACAATAGGTGCTAGAGAATTGGATTGGAATAGGTATGTTCATAAGAGAAGAATTCCATCTGGGATGCAGCTCAGCTCACCAACTCTTCAGCCTGCAAAAACAGGATTCAGTTTTTAGAATCTATCTTGCAAATGTGCACTCCTGATGAGGAGTAGCCGCATAGATTCAAATCACGGTAAAGTTATCATGGCATTACTAAAACAACAAACAACACATCAGTCTTTTCATGACAAACACCCTCTTTTCCCACAAAAACCCGTAATCTCCACTCCAAATTCCAACTCCAACCAAAAAAAGGTGGGTGCAAGGCACTTCTGGTTCTGACCCGTTCCAGATTCAGGTAGTATGTGCTCTCTTGGAGCAAACAACAAGCACTGCCCTTCTGCTCTCATCTCAGCCCAGAGGTGGCAGCTCAAAAGTGCCAAGATCTGATTGTTGAGGCGCCTAAAAAGAGTAATTGAGGCAGCTCAGAAGACCAGTGGAAAAGCGCCCTGTGAGAATCCCGATATCCGATACCCTCCGCAAGCGATCCGAACGCGCACTCCTGTGCCTCCATGCGGCAGGCAGGCTCCTACCGCTCAGACCGGTACCTGGCATGGGGACAAGCGGGGGAAGCGTGGATGTTTGAGCTCAACGCACGTGGGCCTGCCAACACATGCACGAGTGAGAGTCAACGTGCTTGTGTGCGTGAGTCGTGAGCAGCCAAAGCAAATGAATGAACAGGGAAATCATTGACAGGAATAACACAGCAAAGGAGGACGAGCAGAAGTGAGCGATGAGGTGGGGAGGGTAGGTAGGGCATGGAAGAGGGCATACCTGTAGGGAGGAGGATCGGAACCATAGAGAGAAGTGGGAGGGAGGGAGAGGGGAGGAAAACCCAGAGACCGGAGAGGCCACCAGAGGCCCACGCATGGGGGTGTTGGTTGTTAGGCTGGAAGGCGCGAGAACAAGAGAGGCCTCAGCGCAAGGGCCGTGAGACACGGGTCTGCGTGACAGTGGTGGCAGTATGGGAAATACTGGTCCCCCGCAGGGGGCTGGGACAAGAGGGTGAGAGGAGGAGGGAGGGGCAGCAGCTGCACGCAAGGGCAGATGCATGCACACCAATGCGCCCACACATGCAGACACATGCACAGACTTGCGCACAGAAAGCAGGTGGGAGTTCCACAGGTGGATGGGATGGCTATGATAAATGCAGAGTGCCATGGTGTGTGCACTTGATTCTAACATCACGCAAGTCAATGGACGGACAAACTAACTGGGGAAGAAGGTTCATCACACCGTCTCTTGGGGGTTGGGCTGCGGCTGCTGCTGCTGCGACTGACACTACGACTCCTCCTCCTGCTCCTCCTCTGCTCCCCGTGCCCCTCTCCCTTGCCCCCCTCCTTCTCCTTCCTCTTCTCCTTGTCCCTCTTGCTTCCCTTCTCCCGCCTCTCCTCCTTCCCCTTCCTGCTCTCCTTCTCCTTCTCGCTGCTCTTCTCTGCTCTCTCTCGCTCCCTCCCCTTGTCCTTGCTCCCACGCTTCCCATGCCTGGGTTTCAAACGGAGAATAAGGAAGGCAGGTAGAAGGTTATGGAAGGGGTGGGTAAGGATGAAATCATCCCCACAAGGCACATATCGAGGCAATGGAACATCATTGAGGGAACATCATCGGGGGAACATATCACAGATTGCATGGCCGCTCACATGCCATCCATCCTTACATCTCCACCCCCAAAAGCCCACCCTCCCATGCCCATCCTCACATGCCCACCCTCACTCCCCACTCCCCCATGTCCACCGTCTCACCTGCCACGATCCTCCTCCTCCTCGTCTCCACCACTGCCTGACTGCTCGGGTTGAGGGGACGGGGAGCGAGACTTGCTGCGATGCCTGCCCTTCCTGCTTGCCTCCTTTTGTCTAATCGCCCGTGCCTGCCTCCCCTCCCCCGCTCTTCACTCCTGCCGCCGTCACTATCAGCATCAGCATCAGCTTTTCCTTTCTTCTCTTTGCTCTCCTCCTTACTCTTGCCCTCGGACTTGTCTTTCCTATCTCGCTTCTCCTTGCTCCTTCGCTCCTCCTTCTCCTCCTTCTCCTTCTTTTCTTTCTCAACTTGCGATCCCTTCCTCTCCTTGCCACCCTCCTCCCTGCTTTCATCCTTACTACCCTCCTCATCTCCATCCCTCTTCCTCTCCTTCCCCTTCCTGTCTCTCTCCTTCTCCCCCTCCCCAACCTTCTCACCACTCCTCTCCTTCTCCCTCTCCTTCCCCCTCTCCTTGCCCCTCCTCTCATCCCTCTCTTTGCTCCTCTCCTCGCCCCTAGCACTCCTCTTCTCCTTCTCTTTTCCATCATCCTTCTCTTTATCATTTTCTCTATCCTTCTCCTTATTTTGCGCCCTCTTCCTACCCTCACGCTCACTTGCATCCCGGCTCTTGTCCTTGCTCCCGGACTCTTCCCTATCTTCCTCATCCTCCCTCTTCGCTTTCCTATCTCTCTCTTCTTTATGCCTCTTCTCACTTCCCTCCTTCCTCTCATGCTCCCCTCTCCTCTTTTTCTTCCTCCCCTCGCTCTCCTCACTCTCCACATCTTTCTCCTTATCATCTTTCCCCTCACTCCTCCTGCTCGTCTTTCCCTTCATGCTTCCCTCCTCCCCTCCCTCCTCCTCTCCCCTCGCCCGTCCACGCCCTTCCTCCGCCTTCTTCCCCTTCCCTACCCCGTCATCCCCGCCCCCGCTCCTCTTCCTCCCCCTCTCCCCCTCATCAGCCCCCTCTCTGCGCACCTCTTCCCCTCCCTCCTGCTGCCCCATGCTCCTATCTCCCCTTATCTTCGCCCCTTCATCCCCCTCTTCCCCATCCTTCCCCTCCCCCCTCTCCTCCAACGCACCAACCGTCACTTGCTCCTCCCTCCCCGTTCCTTCCCTCTGCACCGCACTCCCACCCCCTTCACCACCATCAACCCCTCTGTCCTTTGCATCCCTTACCACTTCATTCTCCTCCTTCTTCTCCTTTTCCTCCTCCTCTTCCTCTTCCTTCTCCTCCTCCTCCTTCTCCTCATCCTCTTCGTCGTCCTCCTCCTCCCCCTCCCCCTCCTCATCCTCCTCATCATCATCCTCATCATCCTCATCACTACCATATGCAATCCCCAACAGCCCTCCACCCAACAACCCTCCTCCCCCTCCCGCCCGTTTCTTCTTCCTCTTACTCTTCCTCTTCCTCTCACCACTCGCTGCCTTACTCTTATCAACCACCCCCTTCCTCCCAAACTCACCTCCCCCTCCTTCCACAACCACCCTGTTTTCCTCAACCGCACCTGCCCCACCTGGTTTTTCACCTGATTCTTCACCTGCTTTCCCATCTTCCTTCCCCTCCACCTCCATACGCCTGTTTCCATCCTTCTCCCCCTCGGCCCCTTTCTCCTCCTCCTCCTCCTCCTCCTCATCCCCTTCACCCACTGTCACCCATTTCCCTCCACTGACATTCTTCCCCTTCTCCTCCTCCTCCGCCTCCTCCTCGTCGTCCTCCTCGCGGGGATCCCTAAGAGCATCCTTGGCAATCCGCCTCACCATGTCGTCAGTCACCTGTTGGCAGGGAGAGAGGGGTCGGGGCAGGGGGAGAGTGTGGGACAACGGGGAAAGGGTGGTGCGGAGGGGAAAGGGTGGTGCGGAGGGGAAAGCGCGGGACAAGGGGGAGGGTGGTGCGGGAGGGAAAGTTTGGGACAAGGGGGAGAGGATGGGGCAGGCCGGGGAGAGACGGTGTAGTGGCGAATTAAGCACACGGCTCACCACATTAATCACGAGATGACATTTCTGTTGACTCAGAAGTCAGTTCAGGCTCCTGACGTGATGGTGACCCCCTTGCATGCGACTCAAGCATGCAGCCCTCGCGTGCAACCCTCGCGTGCACCCCTCGCATGCAACCCTCGCATGAAACCCACGCGTGCACTCCTCGCGTGCACTCCTCGCGTGCAACCCTCGCGTGCAACCCTCGCGTGCAATGCAACCCTCGCATGCAACCCTCGCATGCAGCCCTCGCGTGCACCCCTCGCGTGCAATGCAACCCTCGCATGCAATGCAACCCTCGCGTGCAACCCTCGCATGCAGCCCTCGCGTGCAACCCTCGTATGCAACCCTCGCGTGCAACCCTCGTATGCAACCCTCGCGTGCAACCCCTCGCGTGCAACCCTCGCGTGCGACTCCTTACATGCAATGCAACCCACCTCGCCTGACATCCGAACCACGTTAAGCAGCACTTCTGTCAGCACGCGTTTGATCTCGCCGCTCATCGCCTTCCTCCATAGGGCACGTTACAGCTTCTTCAGCATCCCTCAAAGCACCCACGCGACCCACCTCACCTCAACATCCAACCCACCTTAAGCAGCACTTCTGTGAGCACGCGCTTGATCTCATTATTCATCGCCATCCGCCGCTGCACCTGGCAGCAGTGCGTGCAATCCCCCTCACATGCGACTGCCCTCAACATCCAACCCACCTTAAGCAGCACTTCTGTGAGCACGCGCTTGATCTCATTGTTCATCGCCATCCGCCGCTGCACCTCCGTCTCCTCCTCCTCGTCCTCCTCCTCATCGTCACTCTCCACACCCCTTCTCCCCCCACCACCAGCACGAGAAGCGCCACCAGCGCCAGCACCAGTTCCAGCGAGAGGGCCTCTATCGTTGTACCATTTGTCCTTGGGGGGCGCTTTAGCGGGTGAGTCTGCCGCTCCTGCTGCTGCTAAGGCTGCCTTCTTCTTGATGACCTCATCCACAAGCCACGAGGGGAGGGACTGAAGCGGAGACAGAAGGTGGGAGTATGGAGTAAGAAAGGTTGGGTTAGAAGGGAGGACGGGGGGAAGAGGAGGCTGAGAGGAGAGACTGCGAGGGCTGCCTTCTTCTTGACGACCTCGTCCACAAGCCACAAGGGGAGGGACTGGAGGGGTGGAAAGAAAGATAACGAGTGAGTGAGAGAGTGTGTGGGGGGGACGCGGGAGAGGGTAGGGGACGAGGAAGAGAAAAGGGGCGAGAACAGAAAGAAGGACGGGGGGGTGGGGTGCAGGAGGGGTGGGGGTGGGGGGGGAAGGAGGGGAGGACAGAGAGATATCTGAATGGCATTCTTAAAGCGTTTTAATCGACGGCAGCAGCTCACCTTCTTTGGCTTAGCGCCAGGAGTGACAGAGCCACCCCCTCCCATGTCATAAACAGCCGGATCAAAATACATTCCTGCAGAGGCTGCTGCCGCCTGGGCCGCCGCCAGCACCGCTGGTGAGAGCACGGACATGTCTCCTGCCTGATTGGCTGGCGGCGCGTACGCTGCTGCCGCCCCTGCTGCTGGCGGCGGGGCGGGCGGAGGGGGGAGAGAGGAGGCGTGCGCGGGAGGCGGGGCGGAGAGGAGCGGCGGAGGGGGGGGTGGCGGGGGCAGGCGCTGGTAGTGCTGCTCGTGCGCGTGCTGCGGGGGAAAACCGGCTCCTGCTGATGCTGCCGCTGCTGCTGCGTCAGGCGCATTTGCGTCCCCATATCCCGAGTACACTCCGTTGTACGAACCAGCGGGGGCAGTAGGGGGGAATTGCGCGGGGGGAGGGGGGTACTGCATCGGGGAAGGGGGGTACTGCGGCGGGTAGAACGACGCGGGATCGGGGGGATGCGTGTGGGGGGGGAGAGGCGGGCCGTGGGAAGGAGGTGGAGGTGGGTACATGTACATTTGCTGCTGCTGCTGCTGCTGGTGCATTTCAGGCGGGTAGTAATACTGCTGGTAATGCTGCTGCTGATAGTACTGCTGCTGCTGCTGCTCTTGCTGCTGTTGCTGCTGTTGCTGCTGCTGCTGCTGTTGCTGTTCTGCCCCGGAGCTCCCGCCATATCCACCACCCACATACGTCCCGTCAGCAGCGACATACCCCCCGTATCCGCCTCCTCCGCCTCCCCCGGCCCCCGCACCCACATCCTGCTGTTGCGTTCCCGGCGCCCCCCCCGCCGCATCCGCTGCTGCAGTATCCTGTTTCGGCGGTTCCTTGTCCCCGTTAGCTGCTGCTTCTTTATTTGTTGCCGCCGCAGCTACCGCCGCCGCTGCGTCCGCCGCTTCCTGCGCCGCCCGCTGCTCCGCCCAGAGCCGCGCCTTGGCCGCCCAGTCGAGCTCCGCCCCTGATACACGGGGTGGGGGAGTCATGAACGGTTCAAGGGAGCCGTGAACGGTGCAAGGGAGTCATGAGGAGTTTAAGAGTGTCATAAACGGGTTGATACACGGATTCAGGGAGCCATGAATAAGGCGATGCACGATTCACTGACACTTAAGCGACGCGGGTAATGACGCACGGAGATGGAAGCAAAACATATCAATATGACTCGACTTGACGGACATGGAAGATAACCAAGTCGTTATTGTAAAGCGATTCCGACGCATTACAGGGACTTGGCGAAAACGATTTACGAGGCGAATCAAGAATCAGGAAGACTAGCGGAAAGACAATACCGCCAAGCTGAGTCTCCTGCGTCTGTTGCTGCTGCTGCTGCTGCTGCTGCTGGTAACCCCACGCTCCGCTCGCGTCCCAACCCTGCTGACGCCATCATGCGTCAGATTGAAACAGAAGCAAACACGGCGACCACGCATGTCAGCCTGAGGGCTTCCGTAACGCGTTTTTTTTTCAGGGTTTCTTCTTTTGCGTTGTTGTAAGAACCGGAAATAGAGCAAGCGATCATGGTTGCTAAAAAAGAGGCTCAATCCCGAAACACAGAAGAGACCAAACAAGAGGGTTCACGCGCGACGCGACGAATGGAACCATCAAGTGAGGATCTAGAGGACAGCTAAATGCAACGCAACCACGTCTCGTGGAAGGTTCCGGCGGCAGCACCTGGTGTGACGGCGCATAGGCACCTGTGCTGCTGGCCGGCTGGCTCCCGGCGCTCATGGCTCCCGCCTGCGACGCGCCTGCTTGCGTGGCCTGCCATTGATCCGCCATACCTCCTTAGAACCGAGCAAGGTAAGGTAGCGTGCAGATTTCAGTCAATTCAAAGGCCGATCAAAACAAGCTGTAGACTGGTATGCGGAAACTAAGTACTTACGCCGAAGTCCTAATTTCTTTAGGTTTAGTCCAAAGCAATCAAAATGAGCAATGTGGGCAATTTTGGTTTGCTTTACAGTTGACTGATAGGTTTATTTCGGTGCGCAATGGTCTAACGCGGTGTTAACCGAAATCCGTTTCAAAAAGTGGTATGATCCGCAATCTTGGGAGGACCAGGAAAAGATGAGGAGGTTTTCTGGCGAGAGCAAAATCCCCGCAAAGGCGACGGTCTCGTTACGGCTGTACCGGGTGTGCTGCTGAGATGCATGATGCATCCAGAACACACAAGTATCAGGACCATGATAAATCCGCATGACAATAATACATCTATACATTGCATCATTTCTTGGTCCAACAAGCTACCATAACGATCAATACAGGCTTATAATACATTATGCACACAATGCACGTATTTTCTATGTACATTTCAATCTTTGACCATCATACCAAACCAACCAATAATAAACCTAACCTTATGCTTCCTTCGACTGGCTTTCTTGTCCTGAGTTCCATTGCATTCGCTATGCTTTCCAGCAACCCCCGTATCAACTCTTGAATTGTCATCTCCCAGCATCTTTTCCCCCCACCCGGGCCCCAGGCCCCTTAGCTTGGTCACTGAAGCTCCAGATTCCTCCTCTTCTTCCACCATCTTATCAAATACAGCTGTGCACTTCTCAGCATCCAAACTGTTGCGTACGTCCTCCTCACCCCTCCCTCTTGCCCCCCTCTGAACACCACTTCTGAGATTCGATCCCTGGCCCTCTCCCATGCAAAGCTTGCGGAGGTTAACAGGGGTTCCTATGCGCACGGGGAGTGTTGCGCCTGTGTCTACCCGCGCGCTCAGCTCTTCCGCTGCCTGTTGCGCCTCCACAACAGCCAATGCCGCCCCGCTGATTCTCGCACGTGCGCTGTCAATCCACGACGGATCGCATGCCAGCTCAGCGTCTAGTCTCGAGCATTCCACGCACATCAACGTCCGGTTCGCGTCGTCATGTGAGTAGACGGACGACGCAGGCGACATGACGCTGATGTCGCTGCACGACGACGTGCGACGAGAACACGACCGCCGTTGTCGCATGCTCAAGTCGTCGGAACGGCGGGAAAGCAGGCTTATGTCAGCATACGACATGTGCAACGGGAGGCTGGAGTGTCGCGGACCTGCGACGCCGTCGTCTCCCGTTGGAGTGTCGCATTCCAAGTTGCTACTACTTGATCGAGCTCCACAGTCGCAACGCAGCTCCCACGCACCGTCGTGCTCCCACGACCTCGCTGAATCGCGCGATGACGCCTCGAAGGCACCCGAACGGCCAATAGTCCAGGTGGAGTCACACAAGGATTCCGCCGCCATTGGTAATGAACGGAAACAACCACGGGTGGTGCCAGTAGCTACGAATCGAACTGAATGGACGAGAAACACACCGGACCACGACATTAATATCGTAGAACGAGCAGCTAAGGGTTGAAGAGCTGAGTCACTGTCGTTGACGTCTGAATCTGGGACAAGTACTCATGTCCCGCCCAGCAGCCTCATGGCCACTGCCGGGATGGCTTGGAGACAGCTGGAAAGACGATGAACCGGCGCGCATCGAAGGACTGGAGTGAAGGCACTGACCGCTGTTGCTCACGGAACGGCTAAGGAATAACACCCAGGTACTGTACGCCTTTTCACACCATACAGTGTTGTCTGTCTGTACACAGTCCCCCGTCGTTCACGCGCCATTGCCTTTGCTGTGCCAAGAACGTGCCCAGAGCACCATTGGCAACGCGATATTTTTCTTGAGAGACCGACCCGATGAACCAATCGCGCTCGAAAGGACAGTTTCGAAGAGTCGCACCTGACCTCCCTGACCAGCCCCACGCGCGTATACAGTACAGGGAGTAGGCATTAGGCCCCCTTCCCCGGTTCCCGAACCACACGTCCCATACGTATTTTATTCTGGAATCCTATCATGATCCCCCCTCAGACACACCACACCCTCGTTCCCAAGAGAATAAATTCGAGAGCTTGGTGTGTGAAAAGCGAGTGCTGGGAGCTTGGGGGCGAGCAGGATTCACTTTGGACGGGCAATGAGTGCAGGATCAAAATCAGGTTGGTCAATGGTCATACGGATGCACGCAAGAGCGCTGTTATTGGCTCCTTCACCCTTGCGGGATATCTCTACAAGGGCTAATTGCGTGGTTGCAAAATGGCGGGAAAGCGGGAGGAGCCACAAAGCATGGATACGCCAGCCTGGAAATAAGGACTTTCTCGGTCAGGTGACTCAGGTCAACTTGTCGTATGACGTGTCATTTACGGCTGTGCTGGGCAATATTCGGCTGTGCTGCCATGTCACGATATTCTCACATTCGGTTCGGGTTTACCCTGCCAGCTGTGCGGGTGAGAGAGGGAGACTGGATGGCTAGTATGTGCACGCTCATTTTCTGCTCAGTATGTGCATCACGGTTGGACACGGTTCTTGTGGATATCATCATTGATACACAGCAAAGTTTTCAGAACCCTAGGTTGACGAATTGTTAGTCATAACCACATCTGTTGTAGTGGAAGAATATCAGAACAGCTCACTGAGAGAATAGCAACATATATTTGATTTTGATTTTATTTTCCAATATCTCATTTAAAACTGACCCTTTTTACTCTTACTTGATTGAGCTTTTGTCATGCTAAACAGCCTCGCTAGTTTTTGGCCAATGTACGACCCTTCACTTCTTGTTCTGTTGGCTGCAAGGAATGAGGCTTCTTTGGGTGAACTGGAACCTACTTCCACAGTCTGGTGCTGTATACTCGCCACACCATCAAAGCTCCTCCTGGTCACAGGAGAGGAGGACAATCCTGGTAGGCTCCTTGGTGCAAGCCCTATTGTCGCACGTCCCTCTGCCTTATCAATCCGTGCACTCAACTCCGCGGCTGCCTGCTGTGCTTCCACCACAGCCAGTGCAGCCTCCTGAATCCGTGACCTGGCGCTATCCACCCACATTGGACTGCACGCCAGCTCAGCAGCACGCCAAGAACACCCCCCACAGAGAGAATCGCCACGAATGTGACCCGGGTCAGAATGGCTCTCCTCCCTCAAGGTGTCCGTATGGAGGCTGTCTTGCTGTGAGAGACCCAGGGCCTCCTCAATCAGAGCAAGATCTGAGAGAGCCGCTCCCAAGGAGTGCCTGTGGCTGCTTTGCAAGCGAGTGCCGAGGCTCAAACCTGACGCGCAGCGGTGATTTGAATCACGCGTTTCCGAGAAACTGCCTGTGGCGCTCAAAGAACCCAAATTGGCAAAACTGGCCGACTGGCTGTAAGCAGTGTCCCGAGCAGAGCCCCAAGTCCTTCCCCGGGATCGATACCGATCAGATTCGCCACAAATGTGACCCGGGTCAGAATGACGCGAAGAGATCGGATCAAAGTCGCTCATGACCCGCGGAATGCTGCCTGATGGCTTCCTTTCCAGGGGCTTCTTGAGCGCAGAGTGGCGTGGAGAGGCGGCATCAGATCGTCGTGTGGGCTCTCCCGGAAACGCCTCCAAGCCTCGGAAGCACATGTTGTCGCAGCGGTAGGAGCGGCCGCAGCACGATTCCTCCAGGGAGACTCGGCCGCTGCCTCCGGGGCGTGGTGGCAAGCGGCTCATTCCCTGCTGCGCGTCCAGAGATGCTCGGCCTGCTTCCAGAGAAGCACGATCAGCCCACCCTGTAGCATTCCTCTCAGCAGCATTTTGCTCAGCAGCAGCAGCAGTCAGTAGATCACACGCGTCTCTTGATGATGAAAGCGTGTCTTTGAGCGGCGCTGCTGCCGCTAACCCAGGGAATTTGGCGCCTTGAGGACAAGAGAGATCGTCGTTCAAGGGAAGCGAGTGGGAGGGGTCAACGAGGCGCTCTGGGGAAGTGACTGGGACTGCCTGGTTCTCCAAATCGTGCTCGTCCGCGAGGCGCAGGAACGCGGAGGGGAGGCAGAGGCGCATCATCTTGAATGGCTGACGCAGTGGGTCACGCGGAGGGGAAGCAAAGGCCACTGTCACGGATCTTTACTAACGAGTTCCGAGTTAATGCAGTGGGTGATTTGAGTTCCGTGTTCGGCGCGAATGCCTGATTAGCTCAGTCTGTTGCTAGATCATGAGGAAATGAAGCGGAATCGAGATTGCCAACCCAAAGACCGACTGTTAGCATTTCTAGGAGCCACAAAATGGGGCATGAAACTATCTGAAACTGAACCTGTGGGTGGGGGTCTGAAGACCTGAGGTCCTGGATGGTGTTGCAGCATGCACAGTGGCTTCTCCGCCGGGGCGAATCATTGTGCTTGATGATATTCCCGCCATGATAAATGGCGAATTTAAAACCACAAATTGCGCAAACTGTACTAGCACCGACAGACGACGGTTCAGACTTGAAACCGGCTGGTTCGTGACCAGCAGCGCCCCGGAGCGCGTGCTTGACGTCATGAGCCTAGTCGCGTCACGTGATGCTTGACGTCATGGAAGTTTGGGTGATTAGATCGCTGATGCTTCTGGAAGAGACTGAAGAAGCAACTGAGGCCACTACTGGGACACACGTAACTAACACCGCCTGACGTGAGAGAGCGGACAAGCCGATACAGCTCAGTATCACATGGCCCTTCCGCGGAAACATGACTCAAAAGCAGACTGGACAAATGCCCAGTATTGCCAAGTTTAGACCTGCTCGGCAGCTAATTAGGTATCCAACTACCACAGAATCTGTGGAGGAAATCGGTGGGTCGTCGTCTGAATCTACACAAGTCATCCACGCTGCTTCTTTCCTTATCCATTTTTCTGTGTGTTTCGCTTTCCACACCGCATAGAAGCTCGCTGAACCGTACTGTCTCCGGTTGTTTGGGTCCTATTCGTTTGTCGGGGAAGCGAATCAGATGCTGCTGTTCAGTTGGCTGTCGCGCCTGTGGTTTGGAAGGAAGAGATTCGACCAAACGGGAGCCAATCACGTGTTGGGAGGATCTGCCACCCTACAGTTTGCCCACACTCTCCTCAAGGGTGAAAAGTTTGCACGCATTGAGTTACTCTGTACAGTTTAAAACGCTATCGCCTTCCACATACATAAAAGCGGCCCCTATGCTGTGCTTATCCATACAGCATTGCCTTTAGGGTACAATGAAAATCATGACAGCAAAACGGGAACATGAATCACGCTTTTTATTAGCATTCGATACTCCTAGAGATTCAAGTTCATAACTTTGCACACTGGGCAATTTTGACATGAATGAAGCCAGCCAAGCAATAGCTATTGTAAGATTAGAGTTTACTTGATGTGAAGAAACATTCATGGTGCTGAGGCACAATAGTACAGTGTTGCGTAACTATTCATGCCCTCGATTGTGTCGAGCAATTTGGTTGGCCACTGACGGAGGTGGGACACAGACCATTTTTCCAGCACCAAGCCATTCCGGCTGATGAACATTGTCGTAGCACTCCCGAGATTCACGGTTGCTCGAGCTAGTTTATGACCATCATGGTTCGAACGCTATGACCGTGAAGCTTTCAGCTGTTTGTGCAGGGTCCATGGCGTGATGGTCTATCCTGCACCGTAGTTGTTCCAACGGAAGCTTAGCTGCTGTCTTGCGTGGTCTAGTAACTGAAGCTGCCATACGAGGCTGTTATCAATAGCCTGCCATGTCTCTAAGTCGTACGGCCTCGGCCGCACTGCCTTTCGTGATAGGGATTCTGGCAGGCGCTGCGCTGTTGACAATTCAGCAGATCATGACGGGAGGGAACATTTCGTTCCCCAACGTCTCTTCGTCTCTCTTTGCTTATATGAATTCAGCCAACCAATCCGTCTCGCAACACGTGGGCAATCCTGATTGGCTGGCCTCTTCTGCTTCGATCGGCGCTGCTACTGACGAGATTCGTTACAACACGGACGCAGAACCTGTAGAAAGCAAGCTCAACGTGCATCTGGTAGCACATTCGCATGATGACTTGGGATGGACGAGCACCATTGACAAGTACTACGTGAGTTTATCTTCAAGAAGGCCCCAAAACTCCCCTGAACCTGCTCTTTTGACAACAATCTTCAGAATGGGTCACCATCTTTTACTTTCGGATTGGTATGCTAATGCATGATCATGTCTATTCTAAATTTCTGCTTGTGAAACGTGTCCAGGTTTCATCAGTACAGTACATTATCGAGACTGTCATCGACCAACTCGAGGCAAACCCTGACCGCAAATTCATCCAGGTGGAGCAGGTGAGAGCTGGCCAGCGTTGGAAACCAACCGTGTGTTTTTTGGTAATGCTAACCATGTCAGTTTCAACTCAGGTGTAACGTTTCATACTGTGTCAGACTAACCGCGTTCATTTATCTCAGGAGAAACACGTCGTTTGGATATTCAACTAACGCTGTCAGTGTGATTCAAGGCTAACCATCCATCTCAGGCTGAAAAAATTGTCGCAAATTCAAACTACCATGTCATCAACTCCAGACTAGCCATGTGATTTCAATCTGAGGTGAACCAGATCTCTTTTTCAACTCTCCCTCCCTGCGTTCCTTCCAGGCCTTCTTTTATCGATGGTGGCAGCAACAGAAAGAGGACATGCGCAAGAGAGTGCATGCTCTGGTTGCGTCAGGTCAACTCGAATTCGTGTACGCCATTGAGCCTCATCCATGTTGCTATCCTTATAAGACTTCTTTCCTGCCATTGCCATCAATAACTGGTTCAGCCTACCTATTATGCTCCTCAGGGATACACTAGCAATCATGATCAATGGACAAGAAAAGGATTTCACTCATTACCACTCACTTGACGCATGCTTCTTTTGTCCAAGTCGTCAGAAACGTGTCCACCGACCATCGTTTTTCTCCCACCTACGTGACAGCAATGGAGGGTGGGTGATGCATGACGAGGCCACTACACCGATATGGTCCACCAGATGTCTCTGGGGCTGCGCCTCATCCTCTCCTCTCCCCTCCCCCACTTCCCCCTCCCATGCCCTCACTTGCCTCGTGAGCGCAGCAACGGAGGGTGGGTGATGCACGACGAGGCCACCACACACTACACCGACATGGTCCACCAGATGTCTCTGGGGCTGCGCTTCCTCCGCTCCGAGTTCAACGTCACGCCGCGCGTTGCATGGCAAATTGACCCGTTCGGCCACTCGGCAACCCAAGCCAGTCTCATCACTGCACAGGTGAGAAGGGGAATGGGGTACATAGAATCACATGTGATCCACCAGATGTCTCTCGGGCTGCGCTTTTCCGCTCCGAGTTCAACGTCACGCCGCGCATCGCATGGCAGATTGACCCCTTCGGCCACTCGGCAACTCAAGCCAGTCTCATCACTGCGCAGGTAAGAAGGGGGATGGGGAAAGAGGTTACATGGTCTACCCATGTGGCATGATCGCTGTTCATGTGCTACCCCTTGATACCACCCTCCCCCTCTGCAAACGCCGTTTCCCCGTCAACCCAATTCCGCCCTCTCCCCACCCTTCCTTCCTTCAATTCACACCCTTCCCCCATGTTTTTATCCTGCTGTTTGTGCCCGTATACTGTTGATCCTCGCATTTGAGCAGGCTGGGTTTGATGGGATATTTTTCTCGCGGGCAGACTACCAAGACGTGGCCAATCGGCAACAAGAAAAGAAGGAAGAGTTTGTGTGGCGTGCGTCTAAAACATTTGGGAAATCGGCCCAGGTTAGCACTCCCTTGTAAACTCGGGGTTTACGTCACATCCTTGCAGGGCCTGCTGTTGTCACACCATATTCCTCTTGAGCTTGCGATCTTCTCCTGAAATGTTTTACAACCCGTCTGTCTTGACCAGGTGTTTGGTGGGCACCTCTACTGGATGTATGATCCCCCCCCTGGGCTTGATTGTGAGGACATAAATTTCCCACCTTTTGTCCAGGTAAGACAGAGCACATGCCGGGCATGTGTGGGGCATGTGTGGGGAATGTATGGGGTATGTGTGGGGCACGTGTCAGGCAAAGGCACATGCTAACACGCCTTTCTTTCAGTTTCCCCAATTTCTCCTGCACTTCGGCAACAGCAAAATCCTCGTGTGATGATCCTGTCCGCCAGCTCTAAGCTTTGGTCCCTTCCTGGACCTCCTATATCCTCGTTACAGGATGATCCGCAATCAGGGGAGTCAAACGTCCGGAAGCTTGTCGACCTGTTCGTTCAGCGAGCTTGGGAGCAGGTATGACTGATGCTCGTGCATAAAGCGACTCCTGTCAGATGCTGCACTGCGCATGTGCATCCTTGATAGACTTGTCCATGCTTGTTCCAACCAACTATATCAATCCTCATAGCAGCAACAGGACAGCCCTTGTCAGAATGTGCTTCTTCCCGGTTCCTATCTGCACCCCTCCTGTGCAGGCAAACGTGATGCGGGCGAACCACGTGATGTTCACCATGGGGAAGGACTTTGCCTAATCCAACGCCATCCTGTGAAACCCTTGTCGAACTGCCCTCCTTCCTTGTGTCTCTGCCGCTCTTACCCCCTGTCTTGGCTGTAATAGGCGAAGGTGACACGGTCGAACCACGTGATGTTCACCATGGGGAAGGACTTTGCCTACTCCAACGCCATCATGTGGTTCAAGAACATGGACAAGCTCATTCACTACGTCAACCTGGTCAGTCGGCGTGGCACGGTGTGGCATGGTGTGGTGTGGTGCGACGTGGTATGGTATGTATGGTATCGCTCCATGTGGTCGACGCTTTTTGGGGGGGCTGTGAGGGGAGTCGACGCTTTTTGGAGGGGCTGTGAGGGGAGTCGACGCTTTTTGGGGGGGCTGTGAGGGTAGTCGACGCTTTTTGGGGGGGCTGTGAGGGGAGTCGACGCTTTTTGGGGGGGCTGTGAGGGTAGTCGACGCTTTTTGGGGGGGCTGTGAGGGGAGTCGACGCTTTTTGGGGGGGCTGTGAGGGGATTCGGCGCTTTTTGGGGGGGCTGTGAGGGGAGTCGACGCTTTTTGGGGGGGCTGTGAGGGGAGTCGACGCTTTTTGGGGGGGCTGTGAGGGGAGTCGACGCCTTTTGGGGGGGCTGTGAGGGGAGTCGACGCCTTTTGGGGGGGCTGTGAGGGGAGTCGACGCCTTTTGGGGGGGCTGTGAGGGGCTTGATTCAACTCAAAAAGGCCCATCCTCTCGTGCAACGTGTGCAACGTATGTTCATCCACCCCCTCACCCCTGCCAGGACGGTCGGGTCAACGCCCTCTACTCCACGCCTTCAATCTATCTGGACGCCAAGCAGCAAGCTGAGGAGACCTGGCCGGTCAAGACTGGCGACTTCTTCCCGTGAGTTGCACCGCAATGCTGATGCTATTGCAGCCTGCTCTTGACGCAACGCAGCATGCTGATGAGACTCGTCCGCCTCCTCCTTCGCATCCTTTTCTCCCCCACCTCCCGTTCTTTCCTCCACTCCCATGCAGCTACGCTGACGCACCGCACGCCTACTGGACCGGCTTCTACTCCTCCCGCCCAGCCTTCAAGCGCTACGTGCGCTCCTGCAGCACACTGCTGCTGGCAGCAAGCATTCTCGAAGCAGCAGTGGGGCGAGAGTCCCTGCAAGCATGGGGAGGCGACACTGACGGGATGAACCTTGTGGGCTCTGGCGCTGGCCGAATGATGGTCATGAGTTTCCATCCCTCGGAGGCGCCTAGTGTGGCAACTGGAGAGGGTGGGAGTGGCGGCGGTGACAGCAATGCTGGTGCAGGATACGGGTCTGCTGCTGCTACTGGTGCCGGTGGTGGTGGTGGTGGGGATAGTAATGGTGGTGTTACTGGTGCTGGGAGTCGGGAGGCTCAGGCCGCGTCGACAGCATTGCTGGGGGAGGCAGTGGCAGTAGTACAGCACCACGATGCCATCACAGGCACGGCCCAGCAGCACGTGAATGACGACTACACACTCCGCCTGCACCGAGCAGCACAGGAGGTGAGAAACTGGGAGGTTGGAGGTGTTGGAAGGAGTGGGAGAAGGGGGCTGAGATGACAGAGCAGCACAGGAGGTGAGGAACTGGGAGGTTGTTTGGTGGTAAGCGCACTCAGACCAAGGAATCGCACACTATGCATATCCCTGAACCCCTTTTCCACAGTTTTCCCTCACTTGTTCCCCCACCTTGTTTCTCCTGTTCCTCCTCTTTTCCCCAGCCTGAAGCTCTGACTCTGTTTTTCCCTCACCTGCCCTCCTCTCCCCACGCCAGGCCTCCACTGTTCTCACCAGCGCTCTGGCATACCTCATTCTGCACCCGCCGCCTCCTCTTCCTCCCTCGCCTCCCACCGGCACCAACTCCTCTGCACCAGGTCCCAACCGTGCGGCGCCTGCTGCCACTCCCGCCAATAGACCTGCTGCAGCTGGCACCGGTGCTGCTGCCACCGCCGCAGCCGCCGCCGCCGCTGCCACTGCTCCTAGTGTCACTCCCCAGGAACCTGCCACTGCTGGTGCGGATACTGCTGCTGGTGGTGACGAGCCTGCTGCCCCAGATGCGGCTGTGCCTGCAAACACCAGCGCAACACCACATCGAGCTCCTCTTGAAACACAGGGCTCATTGCAGGAGGAAGGTATCAACAGGGGGAGGCGGCTGCAGGAGAAGCCGAAGCTGCTGCTCGAGACGGTGAGTGGGGATTGAAGTGTGGTTGGTGGGAGGATTGGTGATAGAAGAGATTGGTGATGGAAGAGATTGGTGATGGAAGAGATTGGTGATGGCAGAGATTGGTGATGGAAGAGATTGGTGATGGAAGAGATTGGTGATAGAAGAGATTGGTGATAGAAGAGATTGGTATGGTGAAGAGCCTATTTCTTGATGAAGAGCTGCATGTTTTCAGCAGCTCTTACACCCTTGATGGGACTGTTTTCCTTGTCATCTCTCCCAGATGTCTGGAAACTTCCGCTTTAAACTTGTGTGTCTGGAAACTTCCGCTTTAAACTTGTGTGTCTGGAAACTTCCGCTTTAAACTTGTGTGTCTGGAAACTTCCGCTTTAAACTTGTGTGTCTGGAAACTTCCGCTTTAAACTTGTGTGTCTGGAAACTTCCGCTTTAAACTTGTGTGTCTGGAAACTTCCGCTTTAAACTTGTGTGTCTGGAAACTTCCGCTTTAAACTTGTGTGTCTGGAAACTTCCGCTTTAAACTTGTGCATGTTTCAACAGAGAATTCCCCTTCCTACTCCCTTCCTGCTCCCTGCAGTGCCCTCTGCTGAACATCTCCTTCTGCCCTCCATCGCATTCTGGCTTTGATAAAAAAGAGTCACTTTTGAGAATTCTCAGAAGCCCCTCGTCCTTCTCTCCCCCTCGCGTCCTCCCTGCAGTACCCTCTGCTGAACATCTCCTTCGGCCCTCCATCGCATTCTGGCTTTGATCACGGAGAGTCACTTTTGAGAATTCTCAGAAGCCCCTCGTCCTTCTCTCCCCCTCGCGTCCTCCCTGCAGTGCCCTCTGCTGAACATCTCCTTCTGCCCTCCATCGCAGTCTGGTCTTGCACCCGGCAAGATGCTGGTGAGTCCTCAATCAGTCAATCTTCCTGGTAACTTGGACCCGTTGTAAGTTGACCCCCTAGCTAATTGACCCTCTGGTGAGTCCCACCACGTCTTCTGGTGCGTTGTGCATGTGGCGTGTTGTTCATTAGGAGGATTGTGACTGTTAACTCTGCTTCACCAGCAGATGCTCATTCAGCTGACAGCGCACTGCCATGCCATGCCATCCCATCACCGCTCGTCCCATCCCAAAACCACTCCCCTCCATCCCTCCCTTGGATCAGGTAGTTGTAGCCTTCAATTCTCTTGCCTGGGCCCGCACTGAAGTCATCCGCATTCCAGTAAGCTCCTCTCTCCAGCATCCTTTTGGGTTTCAGCAGGTGATATTCAAGCAATGAGCCCTTACCTGTTTTTGCTCTGATTTCCGCAAATCACCTGCTTTCGAATTTTAACTCACTATGTGCTCCACTGGTCCTCGCACCCTCCCACCCGTTCCCAGTATCATTCTCTTCCCCTCCCCCTCCCATCCCACATCCCCCCTGGTCTCCTTCTTTCAGCACCGCCTCCTTCCTCCCGCCCTCCCGCCATCCGGTCTCTGCTCTCCACTCCACTCCCTCTATCATCCCCACCAACTGTACCCACCATTCTGTGCTATTACACCTCATCCCTCACTTTTTCCTTCATGCAACCATCCACTGCTGACCCAAGCATGCCCCCCTCCCCTCCATTCTTCCTTTCTTCCCCCTCCTTCCGCTCTCCCTTACTCCCCTCTCCTGCCGCTCTCCCTTTCTCCCCCCTCCTGCCGCTCTCCCCTTCTCCCCACCACTCTTCCCTCTCCCTCCTGTCGCCCTACCCACCACCCCCTGCCATCAGGTCTCCGCTCCCTCGGTCATTGTCACAGACTCAACACACCAGCCCATCCCATCACAGCTCATCCCAGAGCTCCTCCCTCGTCCAGTCATCCGCGCGTTCTACGCAGCAGCACATGCAGGCGCCAGTGTGCCTCCAGTGGAGCAGCAGCAGGGGGTGATGTCAGTGGTGTTCCGTGCTGAGGTGCCTCCTTTGGGCTACTCCACATTCTTCCTCACTGCAGCCCAGCCAGGTTTGACTTTTTTTTTTTTTTTTTTGTGAAGAGTGGGTCATCTGTGCGGTCTACGCAGAACCGCATGCAGGCGCCAGCGCACCTCCTCCCGAGAAGCAACAGGGGGTGATATCAGTGGTGTTCCGTGCTGTGGTATTCCACTTTGTTCCTCATTGCAGCCCAGCCAGGTATGGCATTCGCTGAGCTTTCTCAGAGGTGGGTATCTTTGATTTCTGAACCTCTCACCTCTTGTTACAATGCTTCTCTCAAATTCTCCCCTTTTCAGGAGCTGTGGGGGCAGCAGTGAGCAGCAGTGACTGGATCTTGGGACCAAAGAAGCAGAGGGGACGGAACACGAGGAGCAAGAAGGGGAAGAAGAAAAAGAAGAAGGCAAAGAAGGATGACTATGAGGAGGGAGCGGAAGGAGGGGAGGGAGGGGAGGAAGGGGAGGCAGAAGAGGAAGGGTATGAGGAGGGGCAGGAGGAAGGGGTTGAGGCAAAAGGGGAGGAGGGCTATGCTGGAGGGGAGGAAGGAGGGGAGGCGGGGGAGGGAGAGGAGGAGGAGGAGGAGGTGGGTGATGGTGTGGGTCAGGAGGATGAGATAGTTCTTGGGGGGGTGGTGGCTGGTCGGCCGGCAGCGCGTGTCTATTTCTCCAAGGCTGCTCGTGGAATGACACGTGCTGAGCTCATCAAGCCGAATGGCAAGGCCTTTGCCACGGTATGTGTGCCATGTCATTCCTTGTGCCATGTCATTCCTTGTGCCATGTCATTCCTTGTGCCATGTCATTCCTTGTGCCATGTCATTCCTTGTGCCATGTCATTCCTTGTGCCATGTCATTCCTTGTGCCATGTCATTCCTTGTGCCATGTCATTCCTTGTGCCATGTCATTCCTTGTGCCATGTCATTCCTTGTGCCATGTCATTCCTTGTGCCATGTCATTCCTTGTGCCATGTCATTCCTTGTGCCATGTCATTCCTTGTGCCATGTCATTCTTTGTGCCATGTCATTCCTTGTGCCATGACATTCCTTGTGCCATGTCATTCCTTGTGCCATGTCATTCCTTGTGCCATGTCATTCCTTGTGCCATGTAATTCCTTGTGCCATGTCATTCCTTGTGCCATGTCATTCCTTGTGCCATGTCTTTCCTTGTGCCATGTCATTCCTTGTGCCATGTCTTTCCTTGTGCCATGCCCCTTACATGTGCCATGCCCCTTACATGTGCCATGCCCCTTACATGTGCCATGCCCCTTACATGTGCCATGCCCCTTCCACCTGCGATGCCCCTTCCATGTGACATGCCATTGCAACTTTAGAATCCAATGTGTTGCAACTTTCACTCTTGCCGGCAATACATTGTTTTTCTTCTCCCTGTGCCCTCTCTCCTTTGCTTTCCTATGCCCCGGTTGATGCTGCGGTGCTATCAGCTAGCAGCAGCCAACATCAGCAGCGAAATGCTCTTTTACTCATCTGCAGAGGTCAGTTGTCCCCCTCCACTTGTCCGTTTTCAGTTGTCCGTTGTCAGTTGTCACTTGTCAGTTGCCCGCCCACCTCCTCCACCTCAGTTGCCCCCCACCTCCTATGCGCTCATGCCTCATTTTCCGTGTTAATTCCTGCTGTTGCATGCATGCCACTGTTCCCTCACTTTCCTGCTATCCGCCTTCTGTTTATCACATCACTTGCACCTCCTTACTTTCTCCTCACCTCTTATTTCCAGTCCCCATCACAATCCACTCTGCACATATTTCAACACCCCCCTGTTTTTGCATCCCCTACTCTCCCCCCCACCCCACCCCTCCAGTCAGGAGCATACATCTTCAAGCCCACAGCAGACGGTGCGCTGCCGTTCCGCAGGAAGCAGAGGGTGCCGATCCGCGTGCTGCGAGGGCCCATCGTGGAGGAGTTTCACCGCCAGGTGGCGCGTGACGTGTCCGAGGTGAGGCGATGCGGTGAATAGACGTGCTCTGCCTCTAAGGTGCTCTGCCTCTAAGGTGCTCTGCCTCTAAGGTGCTCTGCCTCTAAGGTGCTCTGCCTCTAAGGTGCTCTGCCTCTAAGGTTCTCTGCCTCTAAGGTTCTCTGCCTCTAAGGTGCTCTGGCTCCGAGGTTCTCTAGAGAGAACTGTGCACCGCTCGGCTCGGGTGCTCTGGGATTGTTTTCGTGTATTCTTCACCAGTCCAATGTCTTGCCGTTTCTGCAGATACACGGGGGGTGTCCGGGGAAGGATTGCGGAGGGCTTGAGTTCCTTGGATTGGGGGTGTGCGTCTCTGAGTGCCTCTTAACCGACTGATATGTCGTCTTCCTTGCGTATGCATCATACCTAGTCTAGAAAGAACTAAATGGAACTTGGGTGCTCGCGTCATACCTTTTTCACTTTGTGTCGTGTCTCCCCTGCAGGTGTATCGAGTTTACCCGGGGGAGAATTACGCCGAGCTTGGCTACTCCATAGGCCCCCTCGTTGAGGATGGGTCCCTGGGGAAAGAGGTCGTTGCCTCTTTCTCCTCTTCCATTCAGAGCGGCGATATCTTTCACACGGACTCCAACGGCCGTGACTACCTCAAACGAGTGAGCTTATATGGAGGATATATCATAGAGCGGATTGGTAGGATATGAACAGGTCAAATATATCAAAGTATGCCTTTCCTCTGTAGCTTGTACAGCCTCTTGTTCACTTCTCTTCTAAAAGAGTATCATCCTCTTGGTTTTGGCTCTCCCCTGACCTGCTCTCTGCCGTTTGCCCATCACTCCCCCTCCCTACACCTCTCCCCTCCCTACACCTCTCCCGCCCCCTACACCTCTTCTCACTTCGCTCCCACCTACCGTGCTGTCCTGCAGGTTCGTGACTCTCGCCCTGACTGGACCCTCACAGTCAAGGAGCCCATAGCAGGGAACTTCTACCCCGTGAGTAACTCACTTACACAAATGCTCAGAAGTAAGGTCCTCTCTCAAACAACTCACGCCAGTATTGAGCTCCAAATTCTGCTCAGTCAAAGACCCCATAGCAGGGAACTTCTACCCAGTGAGTTCTTATTGCATCTTCTCCCCCAAGGCACATCAGAAGTCCTTATTGCTTCCTCACTCTCCCCCCTCTCCCACCCCTCACTCCCACCCCTCACTCCCGCCCCTCTCTCACCCTCATTCCCACCCCTCTCCCATCCATCACCCCCATCCCTCCCGCAGGTGACGGTGGGCGCGTTCATCGGGGATGGCGAGGCACAGCTGTCGCTGCTGGTGGACCGAGCAGCCGGTGCTGCCAGCCTGGCAGCCGGACAGCTCGAAGTCATGCTGCATCGGTGAGCCTACAACTCAACTCATGCTGCACCGGTGAGCCTACAACTCAACTCATGCTGCACCTGTGATCTTCACACCGCACTGATGAGCTTCACGCTGCAAACCGGTGAGCTTCACGCTGCACCGGTGAGCTTCACGCTGCACCGGTGAGCCCCTGAAGTATCGGCGTACTAGCGGCATTGTTTCAGCGTAGGTCCCCAACTCATGCTGCAAGGTTAAGCGCCTGTAGCAGAGGCCTGATTTTCAGCCTGGGTCAACTGTTTAAATTGCAGTCAAAATGGCCTCTGCTGTGATACGTGCAACTTTTGTAATGCTTGTCGTTTTTAAATATATATATTTTTATCCCGCTATCCAAATTTCCAGCCGCTTGGATACGGTGGACAACAAGGGAGTTGGAGAGCCGTTAAACGAAGATGTCTGTGTGGAGGATAAATGCTACCACCTTGTCGTAAGTTCTAATGCGCCTATATAACAAAAAATCAATTGGCATTTAAGCGCAAATTCTGAACATTGGACGCTGATCGACATCGTTCTCTCTTTTTGAGGTCACCTTTCGCGGTGATGGTCACCTTTTGAGTCGAGTCAACATTGTTTCTTTGCCTGTAAACCGGAGCCCAAGTCACTTCCCTCCCTTGGGCGTCCAGGTGGTGGGATCACTCCGCTTCGCAGTGCTGCCAGACACACGGGCACGGCCAGGCACACCCCCACAGCAGGCATCAGGCGGGGGCAGCAGCAGGGGCCTTCTGGCGGAGAGATCACTCCCAGAGGATGCTGTCCCCGCTGCAGCTCGCTTTTGCTGTCGAGGTGAGCAATGACTCCTGAGTTGGCTCAAAGGTCGCAGCAAGTATCAGGCGGGGCGGCAGCGGGGGCCTTCTGGTTGAGAGACCACAGCCAGCGGATGCTGTCCCCTCTGCAGCTAGCTTTCGCTGTCGAGGTGAGAAATGGGCTGTTAGTCCACTCGAAAACAGGTGAGAGATCTCTTCTGAGTCGACTCAAAGGAGGTGAGGGATGGCTTCTGAGTTGACTCACATGTCACAGCAGGCATCAGGCGACCACACTCAGTGCCTGCTCTCTCCCCTGCAGCGTTTTCTCTGTCTAGGTGAGAGATTGAGGTTTGTGTGGTTGGGAAGGGGAGGGCAAGGGATAGGGGAGAAGGGGGGATGTGTGTGTGTGTGTGTGTGTGTGTGTGTGTGTGTGTGTGTGTGTGTGTGTGTGTGTGTGTGTGTGTGTGTGTGTGCAGGGCAGCGTATGCAGTGGGAGGGAGGTGAGGGCGGAGGGTTCACACTCACTTACTGCTGTGTCCACCTCCTCTGCCTGTTGCTCTCCTCCACACTCCCTCCTCATGCGCTTCTTCTCTCTTCTCAATTTCCTTCGTCTCTTCAGTCGACTGAGGATCTGGCAGCAGCAGAAACAGAAGCAGCGGACGCAGCAGAGGCAGCAGAAGCAGCAGCTGCTGCTGCCACTGCTGCAGCTGACACTCCAGACCCTGCTGCAACCGACGTTTCTGGCACATCTGCTGAACCTGCTGCTGACAGCACAGGAGCGACGGGGTTCTTGTGGCGCCACTCCCTCTTCCAGAGCGCTCAGCAGGAGGTGGCAAGGGCAGGGACACGTGGCAGCACCAGAGGGAAGGCGGCAGCACCCTCAGCTAGCTACCAGCTGCCTCGAAATGTGGCTATAACGACATTGGAGGTACACTTGATGAGAATAATAGCTTAAGTTGCTAATAATATCCAGTAGACATCCTCTGCCAGAATTTATATCCTTCCGTCCATGCTGTTCCTAGCTCGCTCCCAATACACGTGTATGTTACAGTTCTGTTTGTGTGTTTGTGTGTGTTTTTGTCCTGCTCCCATCTTCGCCGCCCACGTGTTCGTCCAACAGGAGGTATCACCAGGAGCAATTCTCCTGCGACTGGCTCACCTGTACGAGGTATGTGAAGGGTACTCTAGGAGCATACCATGTGGCACTTCAGTCAGCCCTCGCTGATACACATCCTGAATATTCGATTGTGTTATAATGTTAGTGCCTTTGCAAGGCGAGTCATCCCCCCTCCAACCTCTCTTGCTTCCTCACCCTTCACATCCACACTCCCTCCCCGCTCTCTCCCTCCTGGCGAACATACAACTTACTCCCACAGGCTCAAGAGCACCCAGTGTTTTCTCGGCTCGCAGCAGTGAAACTCCGGCAGCTCTTTGCCGGTCGAGAGGTGGGCTGCCTTGCTGTGGTAAAGGACTTGCCATTTTCCATTCGCGAGTGTAATGTCATTGTTGTACGATTTACACGTCACCCTCGTCTGTGTTCTTTATCTTCACAACATGCAACCATCGTACCATTGTGTTGTTTTCTTGTTGTCTCTACCCCAGGTTCTGAAGGTGACTGAGCTAAGTCTCATGGCAAACCAAGAACGCTCAAGCATGCGACCCCCTTTAACGTGGCAGCTCGATGAAAGTGAAGGAGGTGTGGATGTGGAGGCTATAACAGGCCGTGACATTGATAATTCCACTTATATTGTGGAACTCGGGCCTATGGAAATTAGGACTCTCTTTGTCCAACTCTCCACCTGAAGCTTTCTAAGTGAACTGCGCTGTACGTTATATATTTATTAATGCTGATACTAGTGGCTGTGCCACTTCCTCTACGAGGCAACTTTGGCGCCTTTAATGGCTGCAACTTGCAGACGTGGAGGACCAGAAACGCGGTTCCGAGCTGAAGTGAAGCCTGCATGGCGAGGGAAATATCGTGAACGTCCATAAGTGCGAGGGTTTCAGAGTTCACTAACCCTAAACGCAGAAGGGAACTCAGAGTTGAATCGTGTCGCCGTTGAAGAAGGAAAAGAGGAGTGCTTGCGCCTTTTGTACACCAAACTGCTAAGCTTTTTCTAGCGATGTTAAACTCCTTGTGCTTTCTACCTTCACGAGTTAACCGGACAACTATCCTCCTGAACAGAACCAGTTTGACTTTGCCGAGTCACCGACAATTATTTCTGTGACCAGCCAAGTGCAGGAAGCACCCAATTCACAATTCACGAAACCGAAGCAGGAGCCATTACTCTGTGCGCCTAAGGAACTCCACCCATCTGATGAATTCCAGCCATTCGATCTGGTTCAAGGCAAGAGTCTCCATCTCGGGATCGTCGCCGCTGTGACCCGCCCTGTCCCACAATTGTGGAGCTCCCTGTGCACTTTTTGGGTGTGCGATCCCAAATGTTTCATTTGGTCCATCACAACCGCTTCAGACGTCCAGATAATATTTCAAATCGTCCAGCACCGTACTGAACCGAAGGCTTTTTTTTTTTGTAGCTCCCGCCTAGACTTGGTCTGTTATCGAGGCCCAGACTTCAGTCAGCTAACGGCATCGTAGTTGCAATACGAAGGTATCGACGTTCCGGAGCGGTTAGTCTGTCCTCTCCCAAGTATCACTTGATTCTGTTCCGACCGCTGCAAGCCCTAAAATATATCCTCTCCATACGGGCTCTTAAAACCGGAGTCTCAAGTATCCCGAAGTTGCCTCATCCTTCCTAACTTTGGTTGGGTCACAAAGTCCAACCAAGCTCCTACCTTGGTTTTGTCACTAAGTCCAACCAACCTTCCTACCTTTGAAACCTGTGGACCCTGGGTTTTAAAATCATCTCTTCGCCTGTCGAAATCTGGTCCGCAGTGAGCCCAGACCAGGTTCCTGACGTCTCGTTGACATGATAGCTCCAATCAGAAAGATCGCGAGGCTTGTAATACGACCTCGGGTATAAAGGACTCATTACGGATTGTACAGGGGCGACGATGGCGAGCCTAGAATCGACACCGGGAAATGGGGAGGAGAGGGCGAGGAGCTCATCACTCCCTCGCGGCGAGTCAGAGCCGGGGTCCGACCGAAGGTGATAATTGAACAGACCCGAAAGGGGGATTGGAGAAGCTTTGCGAGTTAGGCATTTATGCGGAATCGAATTATCCATTCTGGTTTGCAATCCTCTGCAATTTCCCGGATCGATAATCAGTAACTAGGGTTATCAGAGGGAACCATTAGACAAGCTTCTTATTCACCCACCTTTCTGTTTCCTCAGACGTTAACGGAGACCTAGCAGCGGCCTGTTCACGTCAGCGATCGAGCAGATATCATGGGAGATGAAGCTGGGGGTGGATTATATCAGATATTGCATTTCAGCAACCTTCCATCTCCACACCAATCTGTTTCCTCAGGAACCAATGGCGACCGAGCAGCGGGCTGTTCACATCAGTGATCGAGCAGATTTCACGGGAGATGAAGCGTTGAGAAAGTTTAACCAGGTCCCACACTCTAACAAGCCTCCCCCACCGTCGCACCTATCTGTTCCCGCAGGACCGGCGGAGACCCAGCGACGGTTTGTCTACGTCAGCGATCGAGCAGATGCCGTGGAAAGGGAAGCTGATGGGATGGCTGTACAAGCAGTCTCAACACTAGAAATCCGAACCGCTTTTCCTCACCTCACCTCGCACCTATCTCATTCCGCAGGACCCGGCGGAGACCAGCGGCGGGTTGTCCACGTCAGCGATCGAGCAGATGTCGCGGGAGGTGAAGCTGATGGGGTGGCTGTACAAGCAGTCCAAGTCGCGGCCGTTCGGCCACCACTGGGCGCGGCGCTACTTCGTTCTGCGCGCGCAGCGCATCAGCTACTTCCGCAGCCTGCCTGGCAGCACGAGGTGCGCGATGGAGGAGTGTGGGAGAGGGGGGGGAGGGGGGAGGGGGTGGTATGGGGTAACGAGTTCT